TATCAAAACTTTTGAGAAAATGTAAAAACTATTATGTAGAACAAGTATTCAAGAAAGAAATGAAAAAGAAGTCGTTTTAATTGACAATAGGTGCGATAAGGCCAATGGTTCAAGTCCAATTTATTTCTTGTCATTATGTGTTTATTTCTGTAACAAATGATTTATTGGTAGAATAAAATTGCTGTTGAATGCAGATATTATGTTTTGGTGCAGGTATATCCTTTTATGAAGTCTCGGTTGAAATCAAAGGTTGGCGTTTGATACAATGTTTTAAGTGACCTTTAGCCGGCAAGGTTGGCCTTGGTGGAGGTGGAGTAGTGGTAGTGGTGAGAGAGTGGTTCAAATTGCATAAAATGGTATATTTTAAAGTTTTGATTGATATTGCGTCACTTTTTTGAATTTACGTCAATTTTTTGTCACTCTTTTGACATAAAAAACTTTTTATATGGTTAATGAGTTGACTGAGTTGGTAAATGATGATGGCAGTGAATTGACTTAAAGATACTTGATATTTTGATTGGCATTTTGTTGATAAACTGACTTGATATTTGGCGATTAATGGAGAAAGATGAGGGATGTGATTGGGTTACTTTTTTTTTCTCATTACTTTGTTGAATTGATTCTAATGTTTTAATTGGTATTTTATTACTTTTTTTAATTTTCATTTTTTGAGTGTGTCACTTTTTTAGTATTTATCATTTTTTTTTATATCACTTCAGATTTTTTTCACTTTTTTAGTGACAAACATTTCTTTTGAATGAAATTGACATTCTATATTGTTTTTTAATTAAAAAAAGTAACATTTTAAAAAAGTGACGTGTAAAAAAGTAACATTTGATATTAACCAGCATTTTTTTTATTTTTAAAATACTTTTTATATGATTTTTTAAAAGATATCTAATTTTTAAGGATATTTTTGTAAGTTGTCCCTTTATTTCTTCGTAACTAGGAAAACAATAAAGCTATTTGTACCTTTGCCTTTACATGTTGGTTTACACTGCGACGTTTAAATGACCATTATTTCTTTTTCTTTTTTCCAACCAAAAAAGAACAGAGCTTTGCCACTTCAACTATTGGGCCAGGTTTTACACTTTGAGCGATCAACACAAAACCCGCTAATCAGAAGAGATGAAATTCAGTCCGGGTTATTCAAAAAAGGCCAAAATATTGCCCGCGATTGCTCTGGCTCCAAAAATTGAAACCTACCGCCCGTCGAAGAAGGTGTCGCCAGCATAACAAAGAGTTCATTTTGAAGCTATCGTCGGCTTCATCTATTTGAATAGATGACGGACAAAGGTAGATGAAGTTTGTAAATATTTTCTGTTTTGGTATAGGTTGATTTCTACTTAAATATGTTTTAGATTCAAGAAAATGGCTGATCCATCACCAAACACCGTAAAAATCGTAATTTTTTCTCTGTTAATGTTGTGATTTCTCAATAATTGGTTTGTGTTGCTTATCTACGTCATGGAAAATGGCCCAATTATTGATTTACTCATTCATAACACATTTAAAAAGCACTTCTTTCTATACTCCAATCGCCTTCTATTCTTTGGAGTTTCATTTGATTTGCAATTTATCGAAGTAATAATTGCTCAAGGCAGAATAGTTTTAACAACCCTACTTAACTTTCATTGGCTACAAAAATTATTATTTCAAAACTAATTTAGTTTTAAGTAAACTTTTTAAACTTAGCCAAACATGATAAATGAGTAATTAGAACCTGTTTTCCATGAGCATCACCAGACTCAAGATTGATATGGTCTCGAGTCTACCAAGCAAAACTGCCATTATGACTTTTTTCTTTCTTTTATTATTTTTGTAATGTGTTATTTCATTTACTAATTACAGTAATCTGAGTTATTAATCTAATTTTTTGGGAATAATTGATTTATCTAAGTTTCTTTATCTACAATTGGTGAAACCTAGATGCATATGAAATTACAAAGTAGAGAAGAATGATGATTTCGATTCAATATTTGTTATGTGAATTACTTGTAACATTCTTTTTT